GAAGAGTACAACCGAGGTGAAGTTGGATGTTCTACAGCTGTCAACTCATCAAGGGGTAAGAGGTGTGCATCGATCAAAATTGATGCCAACTTCTCCCGAACGTAGGCTTCGTGCGTAGATGGGGAATTCGCAGGTCGCCTCGTTTGCGGGGGTGCAATCACAAGCAGAAGGGAAACTGGTCTCTTCCCCTTCCCCTTTCCTTTCCTTTGATCCCGTTCCTGTGGATCTTCGAGATCTTCCTTCTTTCCTTCTCGACGGAGATATCGCGCAGATTGATTGCTTACCTTCTTGGGATCATCTCTCGTCGACATTCATCGTTCTGCACACGCAACTTCCGTGTTTGACGCTCTGTCCCCGGCAGCGGCGCCAAAAGAAAATTTATCTATGTAATGACAGATAAATACCAAAATGGAGCATAATGGTATAGATCCGATCCCACGGGAACAGAAACAAACACAAAAGTAACGATTTGTCAGAAGATAGCATTCTACTATGAAGTTTTACTTCTTAGGCCAATGCTTCTCCTAGAAGACGCTACTCAGCTAGAGCCGAAGACTCACAGGGTAATGCAAAACCGTACTCACAACCTGAAGCTTTTCCAATCAAAACCTGTGAGAATCGCAAGCGATCCCACACTTATATTTCAGGGGGAAAACTTCCCAGCACTGCATACATCTCAACACACTAACCCGAACTTGCTTAAATCCCGCAGTAACCCCAGGCTACCCAAGACATCCAAGCTGAATACTCACAACTCCTGATGCGATAACTTCGACAACCAGAAGCGCCCTGTGCTCAATGTCTGGATCACACACTAGCACATAGACACACAACGAAGACAGAATGACAGTTGAGACAAGCCAATAGATAGAAAAGCCCCCCAAGGAAAGAGCCTTGGGCCTCTTTATTCACAATGGCAAATCTGGGATATCATCCGCCTGAGGCGATTCGTCCTCAGTGACTGTGCCGTCCGACGTAGCGGTTACAGCATCGTCTGAACTACTCTCTACTTCTAATCTACGCAACACTTTTATAATCTCTACTTCTACATTATGACGCGCCTCATTCAATTCCTCTGAAAATGAATTAACTAACTCTACAATCTGTTTGTGCCCTGCGGATCCGCTGATCTTCGCGCTCATCAGCCGTCACTCGAGTAGATCCAACTTCACCCATTTCACCGAATCCAATCCCCACATCGCGAACCCGTTCAGGCACTTCTCTAACCGCAATCTCAACAGGTCGGTTGAATCCTCCCGCAGCTGACGGTAGGCATCCTCTGCCTTTTCCATTCTCCTTTGCGACTCTTGCGATCTCATAACCGTCTTCCCTAACTGCTCCCGTAACCGTCGACAGTCAGATTCAACCTTTAATCTACATTCGACCTCCGAAGACATGATCGATTCGCAATCCATCAATTTCCTAGCCCAATATTACAATTCTTCTTCGTGCTTCTCGTTTCCCGCCGACAGACTTGCTGATAGCTCCTCCGCACGTCGAAATTCCATTTCGCACTTTGCCTCAATCTCCAAAATTTTGCTACGAAGACCTTCCTCCGCCGTCTTTGCCTCTGCAAATTTGCCCCAAAGTTCTTCGGCGATACGAACTTCTTCGGCTCTTCGGGCCTCCAACTTAGCAAGTTCCTCGATGTGCATCTTCTCTCGCTTCTCCGCAGTAATGATCAGCCGCTCCGATTTTTTGCTTGCCGCCTCGTAAGCTTTCATGGATTTCTCCAATCTCGCTATCAAATCCACTGTTACCTTCTGGACATTCTCATTGGAGATACGAAGTCCTCTAGAGGTCTCCTCCAACTCTGCACTACGCCCGAATTCCTTCTCTAGATTCAGCTGCAGTACTTTGCACTCAGTTTCCTTCTCCCAAAGCTGGGCTTCTCGCTCTCGCACCAATTCAGTTGCGGACTCCCACTCCCTCTTTACTGCATCTGCCCTCTTGAGCTTCGTCATATTCCTAATCATTGGTACATAGAATCTTGGCTCCTTTGTTACAGCATACTCCCCTCTCTTTCCGTCCAAGTACTTCAACAATGGAACTACACTATCTTGCAAGAATTCAGGAAATGTAATTTCTAATGTCTTCACATCTTCGCCCGAAGTCTTCTTTCCTTCTTCGGGTCTCACCTCTTCCACTGGAGATGTCGGCAGTGTACCACCTTCCCTCCTACCCGTGTGACAACCTGTTCCAGAATCTCCTTGCTCAAAGTAAACTCCTTCTCCAGGTCCTCGTTCATCTTCATCTGTGGTGTCCCTTCGCCCTACGCAGACCGTGTCTGCTCCAAAGACAAAGAAATCAGACTTACCAATTTCGTTCCCTCCTTCAAAAGTTCTGCCGGTATGTCTGCCGGAACTTCGATTGACATCTCCGAAGGTACTCCTATCTCCACAGACCGCATTACTTCGCTAGCGGCAACTTCGGATGTGTTTACAATTGGTGCCATCGTCTTCTCCACACTGCTGTCCGACACCTCAATTGTCATCATCCTCCGTTTCGCCCTCTTCTTTGGTCTTGCGCGAGCTCTGGCTGCCTGGCTCCACTTACATCCATATCCATCCTTCTAACCTCATGGGCCAATTCCTTCTCGTCATCATTCACGACCTTCCTTCTCTTTGCCAATCGTCTCTCTGGCTGCTCCTGCCTTTGAACCACGTCCACCGGCACTCGTCCTCGAGCGGTTGTGTGTGTTGGGATTGAGGCGGATCGGTTCTCCTCTTTAGTTTCTTCATTAGACTCAGCCATCAAGATTTCCCGCTCTCTCGGAAATCGTTTCTCCTCCTCCCTCGTAACCAATCCCATCCCTCGATAGAAATTCACCAGAAAGGGAGTGATGTGATTGGTCAAAGGTCCCGTCCACCGGGAGCCTGCATTCACCCAAACAAGATCGTGAAAGATCCTTGCCCAATATGCGCGTTATCCCTTCAAAATGCGTTCGAAGAATCCTACTTGCCAGGCCGTCACATAAGTCGTGCGCGCCGGCCGTAAGATGTGCATGATCTCCAATGCGATCACCCTTCTCTTCGGATCTTTGTAATCGACAGTCTTCCATCCATTCGGTCCATGTCTTCTAGACTCGAAGAGAGGCCCGTAAGAGAATTCCTCGCCGCGCGTAAGTCCTACGCTATTCTTCTCAAATAGCAGATCTCCTTCGCTGCCCGCATAGGGTTCCAGTACTGTCGTCCAATGTTCGATAGTCCACAGCATGGGATTACCGCAGAGCTCCTCGCCTACGACCGTGCTCATGTCCATAACTTCCTTGCAGATACTCGCTGAGACGCAATTCCAATTCCACACAAGGAATTCAAGCCGTAGAGCCCTCAACTCGTGTCTGAAGGGTCTCAATTCCTCGTAAGGCACCTTCAAGGGAACCAATTTCCTCACCTTCTCACTCGTCTTGGGCGCCATGTCTTCAATTTGCGTTTCGCTAATCGCGGGTTGGCTCGATTGCAATTCCTCTCTCTCGTTCGTTCTTGCTTGATATCGCAATGTCGGCGTGAAGTCTCTTCGTATTGCCTTTACCTTCAAAGCCCTAACATTGCCTTCTCCCGCGCCGCGTAGAACTCCCGACGCATGCGAACATCGTCCGGCCCGTTGCATGATTTTAATTCTAACTAGCTAAAAATCATCTATCAGCTCATGTTATCAATGGTCATTATGCAGTTACTCTATCTAGTGTTGAAGAATTTCTCATTGATTTGATTTCTGGAGTTGATAACTTATTTAACAAAGTTGATGAAAGCAATCAAAACGATCTTCAATATAACATTGAGCTTATTTTTTTCACTGCTTGCTATTGATTTTATGAAAATTATACTTATCGAGATCAAAACAACAATGCAATGATAAAATTTGATTCTTACTTTTCATTGTTATTACATGAGCTCATTAAACGATATGCAGTTAACTTTCTCGACATGCTTTTCGATTGGAGCATTTTGATCATTAGATCATATTGATCTCATAGCAGACAAGTACAAAGTAGTAATCCATGCTCTTAGATCTGAACCAATGGTAAAATATATTGTCAATTCGCTTTTAGTAGTTAAAGTTTCAAGTACAATTGATTTTCACTTGCTACTAGATTCTCAAATAAGTGGAAATATGATGATCACGTAGTTGCCAAATTTCTTCCTTAACCATTACGGTAGAATTTAAATTTTCAATCTTGCGCAAGAAGAAATATTTGTTTCACAAACATTTATCAAACTTTGGAGAAAAAATAATCTTGCATTTAAAATAATTTTTGTTGATGTAACAATTGAAACATTGATAAGTAATGTTCAATAATTTTGAACTAGAATTTGACTAAGTTAATTTTTCTTAAATTATGTAAATTTAGATGATTGCTTCCTATATACATGATTAAAAACACTTCTCCATATAATAGTTGAAATAATGATAAATTCCAGTCAATAATTTTATGAATAATTAATTAAATTACATTTAGAAAACTACCCATTAACAAAATAATTTGGATTAAATCTTGAATAAATAATTAATTTTCATTTTAATTCAATTTCAATTATTAAAATCTCAATCTTAAGTTGAAAATCTCCAACAAAATTAATTTTGCGTTACCCTCCACAATTGTAAAACACATGGAGAAGGCATTTTTTACTCTCATCCAAAATTGTCTTAGCCTTACATACCAGCAAATTTTCTCATAATTGAAATGATTTCCAACTGAGTGTTTCTTGAGTATTCCAAGGACACTTACGTGCGCCAACCCATGAGACTTCCAAGAAAGCTCTTCTATCACCTTAAAACAAATATGAGTACAATAAAATATTACAGTGCACAAGACTCAATCCGCGCATTTCCAGATACAGTTGAAATTTCTTTGTGGGGAATCACTTCTTGGTGTACAACCGACAGGAAACCCTCGCGACATGATTAGATAAATCTTCTCATCCATGTGGACACATTCATTGAGGAGGTGATCAGAGAGTATGCGACGTGAAGCAATCATTAGTCCGATTCCGAGAAAAGCGTGTTGAAATTAAGCTTACTTATTAGGAGCAAACAAGCCGAACTATGGTACAAATTCACACAGTGTGGGCACTTACCTGCACAATGGTCTGGACACAATAAATATTGGGGGTAGGTGGAGAAAACTGTTACTAAAAAATTGAATGGCGTTAGCCACATGCCCCAGGAAACTCATCTCAACTCTGTGGTTCATGTACTCAGCTGATGCTGCCACTAAATCTACGCTACATGCATCAAGCTGTTGTTGGGATATGTTCACCTGACTGATTGACTAAGATAAGGTGATTTCCGTTGTAGTGTCAGAACCCACAGCAAACCACTTGAAGTGAATGCTCTAACATTTTCAGGGTGTAGCTCCACTTTGACCTGGGCAGCAAACCCCCTCCAGAAAATGGGAGGACTTATGTGTTTCCCATCTCGTTGTAACTCAGCCGTAATCCAGCGGTGTCAATTTCAATATTGAGGGAAAAAAATTGAGACTAAGTAATCTACACATAATCGGGGAGGTTAACTACTCAGCATACTGCGCCCCTTTGATGATCCAGCCATGGTATAAACTGCTTCAACACCTGTTCAAGCTTTTGAAAAGTGACAGGCTTTGCGATGAAACAATCCATCCCATGATTGTAGCATTCGACTACATTGTCTGCCAAGGCATTCGCTGTCATCTGCATATTGTACAAACAGAGGTCAAGATCCACAAATATTGGAAACCAGGAAAAGTGGCAAGGTAGAACGACTACTTCCAACAGGAAAAGTACAGCATCCATCCGCATTGACAACAGAAGTCATCCATCCGATCAAAAGTTTGCTTACAAGTTAGAAATTGACATCACATTCTATAAGTTCCCTGATCGTTACAAATATTCACTTCATCCTATGAAGCATGCACTCACCGCAATAATTGGAGTCCGTTGCCTGGGGGAGGCTATTAACATTCCAGCTGTCTCGGACTTTTCTGATACGACCGAGTTATCTGCAGAAGACGAGGAGGATCCACTTCTTTCGGTATCACCCTGCTCTTCACTATACAACCATTGGCCCGTATCCTCGAATCTGCGTATGAGCCTTGTTGCTTCGAGCCCATCCATTACTGGCATTGATACATCCTAAAACAGACGACGACAAGGTTAATGAGCATTGAACGCGCGATGTTCTGATGATGAATAGGTCAAAAAGTATCTGCAATACCACAGCTATGAAGCCGAGAACAACTGAGCAATATGAACAAAAGAACTCGAATTCTACACCTGCACTTTTCCAGGCACCAGTGACTCATGCCATAATCTTGGCATCAGATGACAGCATGAGCGACTTTGCTATGTTTAATAGGTTAGCACCGAGATAGAGATACACATAAGAATCCAGTTTACGATAAGCATGGTACATACCATCAAAATCAGATCATAGTTGCTCTTTTGGACAGCATGTACGGCCTCAGCTCCGTTACTCACTACTTCCAGGGAGTGCCCGAGCCTCTTCAGCATGGACTGCGCAACCATTACATTCACCTTGTTGTCCTCAGCAAGAAGAATTCTCGGTAATCTTTGTGCTCGTTGATCGGCACTAGGGCTGGAATTCAAGAGTCGTGCTGGTGGCAGAGGCGGGATGGAAGCCTTCGATCCACCCGCATTATTCTTCAAAGTATTTGACTTTAGTGACGGTGGAGGAAGTTGACAGCTTGTGTCAGAAGTCGCTGCACAGCCACGTTTATGTATGAGGTCTGATGGCCCGTCACAACAAGACTGCGAACTTGAGCTTCCCGTCACATCTCTACTGCTCAATGGCAATCTGTTTTCCTCCTTCAGTAAAGCTTTGTCTGCTGTGCTGTTCGTCTCGCCTGTAAATGTGCATTATAATTCTACTTAGCAGAATCTCAGAGAAGCAATTTCAGCTATATCCACAAGTATCAAGGTAAGCGTTCAGTACGCAAAAATTCGTTATAAGGCCAATTCTAGCAACGCAAAAAAGATCGACAATTGATAGGTGCAGTCTGCCTGGAACAACAAAAGTGGGTACTTTCTCCACTTAAAGTTTTAAAAAGACCATGCCTAAGAAGCATTTTGTAAGAAGAGTAACTTCCTCGCACATATTTAAACAAAGGATTATTAGAAACTCATATTCCTTTCTTCTTAAAAAATTCCAAAATGATATCTATGACGAGAATGGACTGTATTCAGGCAGACGTGTACCTGTCTGGGAATGGTCTCCAAGACCACCAGGCTGAGAATTCTGGGCGAATGATTCCCCGTACATCTGTCTTAGCTTGCTCACATCCATCGCTTTACCATTCTTTCCTTTGCCGTCCGCATTAGGACTGTGCAGAAGAGGTCTCGTGGAACCCACGGTTGACGGGATTACATTAGGAGTGAACTGGAAGTACCCTCTCTTTTTTGAAGACATTTCCGTCTTCTCTTGAGTATCCGATATCATCCGATAAACCTTGTCATTCAACTGGACCTGGCTTGGCTTCTCTTTCACAGCCCGCAAAGGCAACGTGAATGAGAAAGTAGAACCCTCATTCTCCTTACTGGCAACCTTTAACGTGCCACCCATTAGACCGACCTGGAGAACAAAGACGACGTGGTTACATCAAATCTCGATCAAGATGAAGAAAAAGCGGAACCTGATGAAGTGCAAACATGGTCAACAGGCTTCATAAATGTACGAGCTTACATCGGAAGTCCATACTGAACATCATGATATCACCCCTTGACATTAAAAGTATACTGTTGTCGCATACAGCAATCAGGATAATTCTTACCAATTGCTTGCAGATGGCCAATCCCAGACCTGTACCACCGTACTTTCGAGCATGAGTCGTGCTGACTTGTGTGTATTTCTCAAAAAGGCTCGGAAGTGCGGCTTCTGCAGTTGCAGCACAACGGAAAGAATAGTAAGTACATTTATGCTTTTCATGCATACTCAAGGACTGCCCACGAATTAGCTACATATTCTACAAATGGAAATTGTTGCAATGCTCGACAATTTGCATAAATCTTCTGGAGAGAAAAAGAGAGGCCCATCCCACTGTACGATATAGTTTCCAAAGTATTCATTGCGAGTTGATGGCATTTGCATTGCCCGAACTACACACGGATGTGCATCATGCAGTCTCGATGTTACTTCATGGTTCCAAGTGCAGAGTGCAGACTCTTCAAAACCTGAATCTCGTTCTACCCATTTCCCAGACACATGACCAAGATGCTAACCCAGAATGTATGGTCGCTTCTCATGCACTTTCGCAAACTATTTGACTTTTCCACAGTAATGAGTTTTGGCTTCACCTGGAATTCCAATACCGGTGTCACAGACTTCACAATGGAGCCAAATGACTTCAGCACTCTTCTCATACGATTTCGGGGATTCCCACATTGCGCCCGCAGATGGAGGCGTTGCATCTTCAGGTTCAACGCCGCTAACTTCATCCAGAGCTTTTGTAGAAAATGATGATGCCGATGAGAGGGAGGACAGAGTAGAAGAAACAGATGACAAAGTAGAAACCGAGGAGGCTGTCGACGTAGATCTGGAAATTTGGGAAGAATCAGAACCGTCTTTCGGGTCAACCTGGTTATTGGCTTCACTCGAATTTTGAGCGAGTGGACGGGGAGGAGAACCTTGTTGGTTATTTATACTTTGAGCTACAGAGGATGAATCTGGGGAAGAACTTGGGCCGACATTAATCACAGGCTTGCAAGCCTTGTTCGTTTGAAACTTTGCAAACGCTCTATTACTAGCAGGTGGATCTGGAGATGACTCCAACCTCATTTTTATCGCAACCACGCCCTTGTGTGTAAACTTGATTGCGTTGCTGTTCACAACACGAGCATTTCAGGCAAAACCAACAGATCAGACCCAAAGTAAATTTTGATAACGTATAAACAAATGTCATTCTTACAGTGAGAGGAGTGCTTAGCAGTCACGCTGCCGCATCCATCACAAACCCGTCTCTTCTACTGGCAAATGATGACAAGGATCCGTCTGCTTCCTGGAAAACTGGGTGATAATGACCCTCATTGTCACTAATATTATAAAATCTTACAACATGATATCGTCCCAGAAAGCAAAAGGATTCCAGATTTGAATAGAGAAAACAAATATAAAACAAATTCTTATAATCAGTAGTCTATCAATCTGCCTCCAGATTGATACTGTCTGCTCCTTCATCTTCATTCAAAGAATGGGATATACTTTTAATGAAATGGCTCGAATTCGATGGGTTGTACCTTCTTCACTATTCTCTCCCCCCTCTTTTGGATCAATGCTATGGCGGCCACATACTAACGAATACAGATTTATGTCACTGAAGCGTTCGGGATCCTACAAGCAGCAACGGATCAAAATAGGATCCAGCACATACCTGACTAGATTCGTAAAGACCTGTCGGATTCTCAAGACATCCCCTATTACCTGACAACCAAAGCCAACCTTCGGTATCAGGAACATATGTTACGACTGACTTATTGAGGGCAAAGTGAGTAGGCGTTAGCAAAAGATTTAAGGAATCCCTACAGAACTTCATTCTTCACCTTCAGGTCAAAGGTAACTGAAAGAAGTAAAGAGAAATAAGAATCACATTGCTTAACAAACCTTACCACGTGACACTACTAAAAATATTAACCTACGTGCTTCCAAGCCAATAGGTGGAAGAATTCGAAGAGGTAAGAGAGAGCAACGGGATAATCTGAGGCGATTGGACATGATTGACTTGACCGCCAGGTGACATGTTATAAGAACAAAATCTTGGCGTCTCAAGTCAAGATAAATTTTGTAGAATTTGAAATATTAAATGAGAAACGGTTTAAAGGACAACCGAGTTTGATATATAGTTACGAATAATAAATTATAAACAAAATACTCGCCGCTAGCTCAACCTCATTTTACGCCTGTGTGACCTACTCTCTACTTTTGTAGAGAGTATATCACTACTTAACCCTACTTAACGTGTTCGGGATCATCCGTGAATTGTTGAGAGTCATTGCTATCAGCCCAATTCCCATTAACACAGTCATACAAGTTCCATGGGCTGGACGGTGTACAACATAATGAAAATCGTAACCTCACCTCGACGGGAACTTCGTCGGCGACATCTCCTTCCAAAACAAGGTGCTTATGTTGCACAGAAGCAAGGGTCATTTGCAACACGTGCTTCACAACCTCTCTCGGTCTGAACTTTTTGGCCTCCAATTTCATAGCTCCTGTGGATCCAGAAATATGCAACAGATTTTATTTACAGAAACGAGAAGCAGACGCAGTACCTGTGGAATGAACTGAAACTCACTTTTAAAATTACAAGTATTTTTTTCTTAGGCTTCAGGACTACAGATGTGCACCCCATGAGATTGACAGGAAGGCCTCAAGAGGATGGAATAAAGAGAACATTAACCGATAGATATGAACATTCTCAGGCAGGAGAATGGCCGAATACTAAGTGACTGATCTGAATATACATAAAAACAAGTACTTCGTTTTACAGAGAACTAAGACCAAGGAGCAGCAGCATGAACACAAAATCCGATGAGGTAGCAAACCTGATTCTACTTTCGACAGATCAAGGATGTCATTGATAAGTTGTAGCACGAGATCACCAGAGGACATCATAACGTCCACCAATTGGCGCTGCTCAGTATCTAGCTTGGTTGTCGCTAAAACCTCTGCCATGCTTACGACACCAGACAAGGGTGACCGAATCTCGTGTGACATTGTTGCAAGCATTTGTTTTGCCCTCATTGTCTCTTCTGCAATTGTCCCAGAATTGTGTTATAAGCAGATAGTTTCTTGACAATATAGAATATTGGACATCAGCAACGTGATATTGAATATTGGGTTAGAACTCATACGTGATGGAGTAAAACAACATCAAAAATCCTTAAAAACGGCACCTGGGCGTATCACCCCTATGAGGCAGCGCGCAGATCACGCTAAAACGATCTACCCAGATACATGTCGAATTTCATACGTGCCTGTGATGTCGATGGTTTTGTGAAGTTCACTTTCCATGGCCTTCTGTACAGCAATATCCTCCCGCAAGCATATGATTTTCTCCCGCTTGGCAGCCTAAAATGTCATGTCCAAGAAAACACGAAAATTCTTACAAGTGGATTTCCTTGTCTGTTAAAGAGGAACTAAAGAAAACAAGCCACCAGGCACACCACAAACAAAAGAGCGGGAGACACACCCGAAAGCAGCCACGGACGAAACAGGACCCACAAGCAGTCTTGCTCCGCCAAGAAAAGGGAGAATAAACAACGAAAAGGATTAGAACGTCCGACATATAAAAAAACTCTGGGGATATAAAGCTTGATTACTATGGTCGAAAACTGTGTCATGCTAGAGCATAGCACAAAGAACTCTGGAAATTCCAGGTAATTATTTCCAAACATCTGTTGCCTGAACTGTGGTATGAAATACAATTCAGTGGCTAAGTTCAACTTGAAATCACATATAACAGATATAAGAGTAAACGCCAAGTCTAGTCGTAATTCTGGTATTGCACAGGACAGAGAACAAAACTTTGCAGTTTGGAGATGTACTCACACAACCAACAATGAACTACAATGGAGTATCAACTGCATCTAAAAGAATTTTTTTTCGCATGTAACAGCAATGACACAAATGACTTCTATACCTCATCAGTTATATCCATTGCCACGTAATTCAGACCAAGTGTGTCGCCAGTCTTGCTGAATACAGGCTCTGCTGCTATGATGAAAGTTTTGGGGCCAAATAGATCCGTGTCAAAATTAATTTCACGTTTTAAAGGCCATCCCCTTTGTAGGACTTCCCTCTTGAACTCCGTGACCTCATCGACACCAAGTCCTGAGTAGATTTCTGCATCGGTTTTGCCCATCACTTCCTGTAACCACATCCAATCAGATATTACTTCTATGCATATTAATCTTGTAGCATGAACAAGATAATATACATGATAAAACTTCCGGAATAACCTGTATCTAAATACAGGTTTAAGAATTTCTCTTGTCACATGTGTAGCCTATACCGGATGGTATGTAAAGGCGATTAAAACACCAAACAAAAAACTACAAAATTTGTTATAATTCGGGATCCTTTCATCAGAAGAAACAACGCCTCTTTTAAAAGCGACTGAGGTGAAACTACTTTATCTACCTCTTGTGACCAAGTTGCAGAAGCACAGCAGTTTCTGAGTACATTGATCTAGGCATCGAAAGGATAGTCCAAAGAAGATCTCACTAGGAGTCAGCCAGTGCTTCCTTCAACTAAGATGTCGATATATCAACACAAATACAGAGGTCCGTTCATTCTTTCAGTTCTTTCCTAAACCTTGATCAATGCACAAAGTCAAGCTTAACAGAAAGGCTGTAGGTTCTTGCCTCTTCTGCTAGGGTTGGAAAAGCGTTGTAGACGAACCGATACCGTAGTTCCTTATCCTGTAATACAATGTCCGCATTCGACTACATTTAGAAAGTATTACCGGTTGTGTAAAGTGGTGATACCTTGATCAGAAAGGCTATCTAATTGAAATCCTTCTATAGTTTCTCTAAGACTGACATATTTTCCTGGTGAACTTGTAAAAACTTTTGCTACTAAGAAAGGCATGAAGATACCACATGTACAACTTCAGAACTTTGATAAAAGATACACGGACAAAATGTTGAAAGGAAGTCTCCAACTAGCTGTCCTTACTACTAACACTCTTCTGTTTTTGTGCAAAGATATGTCAGCCCCAAAGTAGAGCTTGAACTACAGTCATAGTACCTGATGACCTACAACAACAGGAGCCTTTCTTAGAGTGAAATGAAGAAAATTGTCCAAACGCTGCAGATGATCTTGCAACTCCTCCAGTGGTAAAGATACAGTAGGTTCCACCAGATTTTCATGCAATCTGCTCAGGAGAACTTGCTCCCTTTGCAAACTTTCTGCTAGAAGATGGTCCAAGGTCTTGGCCCTTTCTTTCCAATACTCCACGGATCCATCCTGCTCATCCCCAAATGAGCCGCTGACACTTCCTACCAATGATCCTCTTGAACCAGAACCACCTGAGCTGGACATTTCGTCTTCCTCCATAGGGCTTGTTGATTCGGCACCATCTTCTCTTTTGATGGTGTAAGCTGAACTGTTCAGCCTGGGACTCCATTGTTCTTCAAGAATTTGGCGATGCTTGCGCTCAGCCTGATGAAGTAACAATAAGAACACCACGGAGCAAGAAATTTGAATACGTGACTTCTCAGCTGTGTCCTCTTTCAACAAGCACCGTTTGTAGTACTTAAATTAATCGTATATAGGAGGAAAACCAAGAGGGTTCAAACTACTTTGCAAAAACATGCTGTAGGTTGCTAACCTCACATACCTCACTATCTCTAACTTTCAACAATTTCATATCACCACTGTTTCAAAAGAAAATTGTGTGGGTATTAAAAAAATGGTGGTACAACTATTCTGAGAAAGAAATGCATTTCCATATTTTGGATCAATTTCTCGATTCGAATCAAAGACAAATATTGACAAGGTACAATAGAACTTGAATCGGTAGAAACAACAGGACTAATTTTTTTAGATGAAAAATAACTTAAGAATTACTTCCGAATTCGATTTATATTTATCTCGTTACGTACTTAGGAAGAATATTGACATCCTGCAGTCGCGGATAGTGATTCGGAGGAAATAGAGATCATGGAAGCATCAAAAATAAGATTGACTGATGATTCCTTGCGACCAATGAGTTTCTTTTGCAGAATAAACCTACCTCTATTCTCTGCATATTCAGGGTATCAAGTTGCTGCCGCAAAAGTCGGACGGCATTGGCCTGTCTTCTCTCCCACTGTTTCGCTAGGGTTGCCAACTGAATCAGTCCGGACTCACTTGTATGCAAAAGCTCCATTAGACGTTCCGGATCTGCAAAGGTCCTCTCTCGGACTAATAAGCTTTCCTCTGCTAGAGTCTCTGGATCCCACTGATGTCTTCGATCCATTGACATGAGATGTATAATATTCTCAGGCCACATAACCGGCATCGTACGCCGATTGGGCAGTTCCTTTGCAGCATCCAAGAGTCTTTTCATCCATCAATAGTCGTTTAGCCCCTGGCCTGATCAGCATAGCAACATGGACTGCAATCACAGATATGGAGCAGATTGTAAAAATGGATATACTTTCATACACTCATAAGTCGACAAATCAATATGTTGCACTTTTTGATTACTTCAGTAAACTTCAACACGAGCTTTGACTAATTCAACCAGAGAGTCAAGCTGTCATAGCATCATGACTTAAACTTTTTGTGCAAGAGTAAGATATAAATTTAATTTTGAACTAATAATTTAATATATGGTGATCGAGAGCTCATGAAATAAAGCCTTATGTCAAGTAAAGAAAGCGAGGCATTTAGTATAACTAAGAACAATATTTGGAAAATCAGAGCCATGGAGTGATCCGTAAGATATAATGTGGTGGAGAAAATAAGAAGATGAAGAAAGGACGCGGAAACCGTATCAAACGGATTCACAAAAGAGATAGTACTCAATTACTAGCACGTCTTGTGGAAACAACTCAGAACAAACAAATCTGTCAAATCCCTTTAGAAAGACACTCAGATATGAAGGTAGCTCCTCAAGCAACCCAGGTCTAATCGAAACTCCTCTTTAAACCCTGAAATTAGAGGTATAAGCGAGACAAAAATTACTACCATTTGATGCATCAGACTCGTTATGTGATCTTAGATCTCAACTAGCAAACAATTCCACTCACTCCCATCTCTTACACGACACTATCGTGTTGATGTTAAATCCATTCATCATCTATGAGACGCTCCCTACCACATCCAGAACATTTAACTCCTCTGCTGACTAGAGGGTTCCTAATTCGAATCTTTCGAGTGGATAATAAATGCGTCTCTGCTCCTCGCTACAACATTTTAATCCGTCAGACCCAAGCACCTAAGAAAAAACCCCAGGAAACAAATATCTTTGCTATCCTATAGCCAACAGAAAGCAAGCTCGTCTTTTCAACTTGTCTTGGACGTGCATCTATTACAGTCCATCAGTCAAGATGACAGCAGTTGGTTGGCATTTACATCTGGAAAAAGGTCACCACCAGACTAATACATTGGCTCTTAACAACGTCAGCATACAATTTGCAAGAAGAATCGTGAAATCTCAAAAGTGAAGAAACTTTTTGCTCCTAAAAAACAGTACAAATCTGAACTAGGATCATACAATTCATATAATCGATTTATAGCCGTTTCCGAGCTTACAGCTGGTTAACTAGAAGCGTCATAGATCACCATAAAATTTTGAAGGGCTCTTAACAGCTCGCCAACAAAAATAAAATCTGGTCTTCCTACCCAACGCCAACTCTAACTGAAACAAATCGTCCACTTTTAGTGAGCCAGCAACATTTTAATTTTATTGTGAACGTTCACAGCAATTTTTGGTAAAGTTAGTACTGGCTGATCGTCCTCGAATCTTAAGGATTTCCTTAGCATTGCTTGCTAGTTGTACGCTGAGATTAACACTTACGTAAGTTATGGTCCTTTGTTTTCGAAGCTGAAATAGATTAGTGAGTTGATAATAACTTGAAAACTCACGAGAAAATTACTTGATGGGACCCGAGCAGAACGCAGAAGTCTATCTGGTACGCAAAACGTTTCATTTTACCTGATGGGACCGCTCCAACGGCAGTTCACCCCACCATCATCCATGTTCCCATACGAGTTCTTGTGACTGCTTTCTTTCCGGTTAGAAAAACCACTGCAGCTCTTTGTTGAAAAACAGGAACTTCTCCCGAAGTTTCAGTTAGTCCCTGGTGATCAGCGAAGCACCTTGAGGTACTCAAAGCAGGGACTCCACTGACCAAAATATGCAACTAACGTGACTTCAGCCACGAAGTTTAAAAGAAAAAGGGGAAAAATGTAAGTAAATAGGCACATATTTTATAACTGTAATATCATTCTCGGCCGTGAGAAATTTGGCTCTCGTATTATGAAGATTGGCAGCCATGGAAATTCAACCAATATATAGATTTCCCGTTGCTCTCACCAGCATCAAAAGCTGCTGTCTAGCTGCATAGAGACGATAAATCGCAAACACCGTTCTCATATGACTTTCCCGAAAAATCGCAAACAAGGTTCTCATATGACTTCACGCCAAGGTGTGGAAGTATTACAACAAAGATCATCGTTCAGCAAATGCTAGGAGTCCAATGCAGAAGCTTCAACAGAAGAAGTAAGCAATCTCAGGATGCTCTAACGTGAGACTGACCTCACAGCTGGCAAGTGCAAGGCTGATCGGAAATACACACAAATTGTGTGAAGTTTCTATCGTGACAAGCTCACGAGGATGGTATTGGTAGTCTCTGTGGCGCGTGGGCAATAGTAAAATGATTCTTACTCATTTGTTTTCGCAGGTTTCAGCATGCCAAGCATGCATCCTTACGGGTCCAGCATCCATGTCTTCAAGTCGATTCCCGGACTCAACAATATACCATGATACGATGAGTCAGGAAAAGTACAATCGACGGCAGCTGCTTTTGTCAGAACAACGAGGCAACTCGAGATACCAGAAGTGATATTCGCAAATTTCATGCTCGGGATTCAAGTAACATTGCCAGAGGGTACTAGGGCGCTACTACGACAAACTAGAATTATCAACTGGCCACATATCAATGCTCCGAACCTCCTCCACGTAATGTGCTTTTGCGAAATACCCGAAACACACTTTACAAGAACTCGTATGGGAAAATCGGTGGGATGAAGTGACGTCGGAGGGATCCCATCGGGTAAAATGAAACGTGTTGGGTCCCAGCAAGACTTTGCGTTCTGCTGAGATACCATCAAGTAATTTTCTCAAAAATCACCCTGTTCTGTCTTATCTGTCAAGAGTTCTAACACCCAATGCCGCAGTTTGTTCTATAATCCTTGTCCCGAAATCTGTTACGTGAGATCCTTTCTCAACATAGTATCTGACGTTTAACTGTTAAAAAAATCTATGAGGTATTTTCCAAAAAAGTCATCATCAAAGGAGCATAAACATCAAAAAATATAAGTAAGCTTGTCTAATCACAAGAATCTACTTCATAATCATATGGCTCACTTCCTCACGGCAACGCACAAAGCCAAATGTGTCAATGCGAATCTATAAAAGTTCCAAACCCTTAATTCTCAAATAAATTTCGGTCTGACGTTATAGGATTTGTCTTGCTTGTATTGTTCCTCAAGTATTGCCAATTGTTAGAAAATAGGAATACTAGCTAATTATAATAATGTATTATTTAGCCCATTCCAAATAAGGTTTAATTCTAATGTTGTTGTTCACAAGACTTTAGCAAACATCTCCCTTGATTGAACTACAGTTGCAAGAACTTCAAAAAAGAGCAGATATGGAAAATTCTATCAAGAACATCTATGACTCAACCGGACACAAATGTTACAGATCGCAATAGTTGGAACTTTCATGGCATGACGTGAACACCACATACCCAAGAAATCTACGCAATTTATAAGAATTTATGGTCAATAGTTTGTAGGAGTTGGCGAAGCATTCGTCTGTATGGACTTCATGACCAAAAAAGTCAATTGCATTGGTAATTGTTATCCTAGATTATGTTAGTGAAATAGAGAGAGTCACATCAATCGCTCACCTCGTTGTGCAGAAATTTCCCAAGTTTCCTTTTCACCCTTTTCGTGCATTGGAAGTCTCAAAATTGACATCCTATTTGCAGTATTACGAGCATCCACTGCCTCCTGTGAACTGAAAGTTTCTATAAGGGAGAGAAGCAAGAGACCGCTTTAGGCAGCAGTGATTTTGATGTCCCTGAAACCGCATAACTGCACGCACTATGCACCCCTATCACAAAACCTGTCCTGCCATATATTGTCCACATCGTTGATCGATTCTAAATTCGACAGTGCCAAGTTCGAGCATGCTCAAGCTTCGAGGGTCTACCGGAAAACCTGGGGCTAGCTATTTGCCAGTGGAATTTCCAACATCCACCTAAACTACTTCAGTGACCCCCTATAGTAGCTTCAACGGTCTCCGACTCGAGAGGTGGTCCAATTCTCCACAACCTGGGCGGCAGAGAGACAAATTAGCAAAAAGTGGCATCAAATCTATGCACTGACTACTTGAAAGCAACAGGCTACGATATTCTAGATGAAGATCTTCGACTTTTAGATAGTTTAGAAGGCAGCACACAGGACCCGAGCCAATCGGCACATCTCCTCATGGACGACGAATAAATGTTGTGCGTCGAGAGTGTTAAAATCGGTCCGCACGTCGAAAATCTAAGAACTTCCGTTTCTGCCCGATACAAGTAAGCAAGTGCAATTCAAGGGAAATTGAAGGACCATACGCTCGCGCAACCCTCAACTGTATACATCGAATATCGCCGATGACATTAAGTCTCGGCGATTTTCGATTGCTACATATCTGGAATTCAGAACTACGGACAACCTGGGTACGAGGGTGGAGAGTGGAGGCAAAATTCTTCTGTATATGTCGAAACAGTTATACTAGTCGGCTCCGTATGAAATTAAACCGCGTTGCATAACCAACTTGCAGACAAGAAATACTTTTCCGCCTGCTTTTGACTGCCCCTCTCCATGTCTCCAATCATATAAATCCACAATGAGTACAAGCTCTACGAGTGTTGAATGACAACTTTCTCCCTCCGTAACACGGTCGGAGTATGAACGTGCTGACAAAGGTCAAAGTAAGCATTTCCAAAACTCCAACCAGTCCTCCACCACATCTCCTTGCGCAATCAGCCATCGAGTGGGCGACAGCAATACATGACCTCTCTCTACTCTCTACTCTTACAAGCACACCATCGCTCTCTCTCTATACCTTGTCTCCGAGCTGCTGAAGACACTGCTGTCTGACGAGTTTTATTTTTTTTCAACCAGGCCCCAGTTGAGTTGCGGATCTCAAGTCCACATTGATAAAGCGTCCATGTCAGACGCTTCACTCGCTCAGTTGATATCTACATGATCCTCGTTCTGACCCAGAAATTCTACAAAGAGAAGATTCCACATTTGCCTCCGCGGGACAAAGAACTGCAAAGGTCCTACCTTCTGGCTGCTATCCTCGCGTTACTAGGAGTGAGAGCTGCAATTGCAGCGAGGACTGAGTAGTTTCGTAAAGTCTACTGGCCTCTCCGGAACATAATCCCACACGTCCAGAACGCCAAACGACGGACCTACCTCTTCCGGTTTTCCAATCAGGACTCGGGTGAATCTTCAAATCTTTAATCAAAGCCCCTGCGATTTGCGAAGCCAGTGCTCGTAGGAACACATGAATCCGACGAGACCCGCAACAGAAGATGGGTAGGATGATGAAGAGGAGTGAGGAGCAAGTGATGATTACATGGAAAAGAAGAAAATTGCTGTCCATATTGCCCACGATCATGAAGTCTGATTTTCGGAATGTCGCTGTTTCTTTTCCCACGCTGACAAACTTGGCTCGCTCGCTCTCGGCTGCTGCTGCAGCAGCAGACGGGCTAGCTCTTCCAGTTAATTGGTGCGGAGATGTCCTTCAGGAACCAACCAAGAAATTCGTTTTCGTGGCTACAGTGCCCTCGCCTTTCCCTTTCCTGTTGATCTTCCCTACGTCGCCACTCCCCACATCCTCCCCCCGCGTCGCTTGCTCTGTCTACGAACCCACACTCTCCCTCTCCCTCGCCTCCCCGACCTTCCTTCCCTTCGTTCGCTTCACTTCACTTCACTTCCTTTCCCTTCCCTTCCCTTCCCTTTCCTTGCCTTCCCTTCGCTCTCAACCCACGAACGAACTTTTGTCTGTCAACCTCCTCGCCTGCTGCCTGCCTATCTCCTATCTATCTATCTGTCTATCTATCTATCTCTATCAATCACAGCATCATCTCTGCTGCTGTGCTGTGCTCTGCTGCTGCTGAAAGCTCTCTTCGCGACGCAGCACCACCTGCAGACAACGGCCCGGGATGTGAGAGCGCTTCTTTCCTTCCTGGCTTGCTCTTCCTGGCCCGGCCTTCCCTTCCCTGCCCTTCCATTCCCTTGTCTAACCCACGCAGCGAAAAAGGTCCCAGGTTCTTTCCATGCCGCCGAGACGCGCCATCCACAAATTGGCCGGCCTGGCCTGGCCTGGCCTCTCTGTCCGTGAGAACAGCTCCAACTTAGAAAGTCAGCCTCTGTTCACCAAGATGATGATGATGATGATGAACCACCACCAGCGGCACCCGACTCTAAGAACCAAGGAAGCAAGCAAGCGAGCGAGCAAGGAAGCGAGCGAGCGAGAGAGCGGAGAAGGAAAGAAGCGATGTCTGCCCTGCCCTGCCCTGCCTTCGCCCTTTGCCTCGCCTTGCCTTTGCCTTGGCCTTGGCTGGAGCTGCCCTGCCCTTGCCCTTGCCCTTGCCCTGGCTTTGGCTTTGCCTATCTTGCAAATGCCTGCACCGCAAGGGGCGAAGGAGAGCGCGGAGGAGAGAAGGAAGGAGGAGGAGGAGGAGGAGGAGGAGCGCGCAGCAGACGAGCGACGAGAAGGGAGGAGGGAGGGAGGGAGGGAGGGAGGGAGAGCAGCAGCCAGAGGGAAACGAGAGCGGCCACTTGCGAGGTCCAGCCCAGGCCAGGCCAGAGCGGAGCCGAGCCGAGCCCCACTCCCCGAAAAGCCAACGTTCTCTGCGGAGGGTAGGGGAAATGCACCAGCCATAAAGGGTGGTCAACAAAACGAGTTATGTTAAACCTGCCCGTCTTTCTCCGGCACATAAGACAGCCTCGGTCCTCACTTTTCGGTGCGAGTGCTAACATCCTCTGCTCGAGGATTCTCCCTGTCCTCCCCCCCCTCCCTGCCACGCAGCTGGCATTCCTCACCCTCCGCTCCCCCCTTCTCTTCCTTCCCTCGGTCCACACTCCTCGGAACCTCGCACTCCTTCCTTCCTGCCTTCCTCCCCCGTCCTCGTCCGCTGCGCCGTGCGAGTTTTCCATCGCTCCTTCCTCCCCTCGATTCCTTGCGTAGGACTTCCCTCCTCTCGCAAGCCTTGCTTCGATTTCAAGCCTGATGCGTTCTGGAACCGCAGGCGCTCGGGGAGAGCCGAGCACCTTTCTAAAGCCGGGATTCCCCCAGGTTCACTCTGGCTGGGCTCCAGTTTACTGGCCGACGTTTACAGCGCAGCGGGTCTAAAAAGGGGCAGCCATGTCCTACGCTTCACGCGAAAGAGGATCTGAAAATCTGGAGAGCTTGGCACCCGAACTGCTGGGGGCGAGTACCGGTATAGACAATGTCACCTTTATTAGGACTGTGCAGCTTCTCCCGGGTCTACCCAAATGGAGGCCGGCTTTACCAATCCACTGATTCACGTCAAATCTCGAGTTACTGACTAAGTTACTAAAGCAAATAAGGTGCAAGGCTGCGCTCCAAATTTACAGCGAGGCTTGTCGAAACGAGGGAAAATAAACATCCCACTGGGAAGTGAATCTCAACACTGGAAGTATGGGCATCCGAACTTATGGAGGCGGGCTTGTGCGAAGTACGGGGATGGATACTGTCGCCATAATTAGGACTGGTGGACTAAGGGATTAGATACTGTCGCGGAAATCCACCGAAATAGCAACCAGCTTTGCTTCGAGGTCAGAATGTTCCTCGGGTGCCAAATAAAACCCGAGAATGAGTGCAAAGTCCCACGCCGAGAAGTAGTTCCGGGGGGTCATTGCGAAAGCTCGGTTCCTCGCAGAACAGGACTGCCGTTCAATCACCGCTGCAGCAGCCATCTAGCGATGATCCAATCTGTGTGGCCAGAAGAGGCGCGGAGGAAATCGCCCCTAAATTAAATATCTGGCAATATTCCGGGCCCCCCCTCGAAGAGGAAAGTCCGGGGGCCGGAGGGTGCCGTCGTCGACGATCCACAGAGTCTGCACACACAACTGACCTCCTCCATCATGATTCATGAGCTTCGAACGACCTGCTCTGGCCCGCTGACCATCGCCGTCCGTTACCGACGGCGGCGATTCCAGCATTCCCGTCCGGCGGACCGTCCCGGACCAGGTCCCCGGGCGACGCGTCGAGGACCGCGGGGTCGACGACTGACCGAACGAGCGAGTGGATAAACCAGAACCCCGATTGCGATTTTAACCTGTACTGCGGATGGGAAATTCCGCGCTGTACTGCGAGCCTATCTGCCCTGCTGAGAGAACGGCGGCCCGGCGACCTCCACCGCCTCGGTACGAACCATACATCATTCTTGACTCTCTGGTGCCGTTTTGTTGACCGGTTCCGGCCCAGCTTGACCCCGGGCCAACCCAGGTAGGCTTACCTTCGAGCTCCGAAACTTCACATCACCGAAGTCAACACCCCCGGCGCTCTGTGATCGTCCTCCAGGCTCCAACCTGTCGCATTTCCGCTTCCGGCTACACGCTCGTGGACGGAGAATCACGGCACGTACCCGCTCGGCCGACGACTCATCGTCCGCCGCCAGATGGTCAAATCTAAGGTTTCTGTCACTCCACATTGATGGAGATTCCCGGCTACTGTTATCCACTTTGACTAGCTTGACAGCAACTGGGTACGGCTCCGTCACCGTAAACAGAGGCCACCGCGGCGTTGGGATTCGGCAACCGCTCACCAGACATGGTGAAATCGTCGATCCTTACATTTTTCCCCTTCGGCAAATTGGCAGTTGGGTAAATTGTCAGTACCACGTGGGCATGTCGTTTCCCAACTAACCTGTTTCCGTCTCTCGGTTTCTCCTTCCTTCCTTCCTTCCTTCGTCGGAAACTCGACGGTTTCGCAAATGCCATCCCGCGCGTCCGCTGCGTGCAGCTCTCGCTCTCCTGGCCCGAATTGTTTCTCATGAGCGCCGGCCAGTCCCTCTCCCTCCTGCCTCTCCGCATTGCCCTCGAGACATCTATGCAGACCCTTCTCTTCGACCCTCCACATCGTACCCGTTGCCTCGAGCGCTCTTCCCTTCTCTTCCCTCGTCGTGGACTCAAAGAAGATTGGATTGTTTCGATTTCCTTGTGAATCTGACCGGCCCAACTCTCAGGGCCCGGATGCAGTCCACGCTGGTCGAGCGTCGCTGCCCGAACAGTCGCTCGTCGACAAGTCTCGAGAAACATTGTGCTCGGCGGGCAAAAATGACTCCGCTCGCCTGCCTACTCATCCGCTCGGGCAACGTGTGCGGAATATTAGAGCTACTTGTTTCAGTTCCAGGGACGGGTCAAAGATGGAGGAGGAGGAGGAGGATTAGTCCGCGAAATCCTTCTAAACCGGTTCGCATCGAGCGCTAGCTTCCTGGACGATAATATCTGAGCTCGTTGTGACGAGAGCATCAATTTCCACAGGCGTGTCTTAACCTAATGATTGCGCGGGACAGGGTTTCGCGGTTTAATCTTCGAGGGCGTTGCATTCTGCGCAACAGAAGTACGGCGGAACGGGCTTCTCGACGACGGACCTTCAGGAAGTTTTCGGCCAAGTGGACCGACAATGACGGCTGGGGTTGTCGGTGCTGAGGTGGCCGACTTCGGGCCTGTCCGACCCGGGTTTAGCGAGCGCAATTACGGAAACCGTTCAGTTACCCAACAGCTAATGTGTTCCCGGTAACTTGGAAGATCCCACAGTGTTAACTTACGGTAAATAGCACCTTCCATGATAGACTGTTGGCTGTCACGGTAACTGGGCCTGTTCTAGTCCTCAGTTCGGGCAGGCCGGACAGGGCAGCTGCACCTGAAGATTCTTTAGGACGTTTACTGAGCCCTGCCAGTACCAGTACCAGCCCCGCCCGTACCCTACCACGTGGATTTATCATTGACAAAAACGCAGGAACTGCATCTGTTCGTATTGTCTGAATCTCGTGCTGCCCGGGAAGCACACAGCATATTTCTCCGCCCTGTCAACACTCTGAGCTCATTATCAAGGGTTAAAGAGACACGGAAGGAGTCCAGCCAACATGGAAATTCCGCCACAAAATTATCTCCACACTTCTGTTTCTGCCGTTATCTCTACTCATCTGATCGTTTCAGCATATTTGCGTCTTTCTTTTTCTTGTGCGAGTCTGATTGTAAAGCGCAGCAGTACACCCTAAACTGAATCTCGAGTGAAAGCTGCCAATCGAAACAGGTCAATGGATGCTAGGCATGTCGGATTTGTGACTGATCGTTGCGAATTCTTCTGTGAGCTGAGCGAACTAAGCGTTGTACACGCTCGGTTCTAAGTTATAAGTTCGATCAACAATGAAGAATACTGTATATAGTGTAGCCATTTCTATTCACCTGGAGCTTACAACATCAGCAAGTACACTTGAACCTATTGAAAGAATCAGACTACTGGAAAGTTAAGTTTGGCTATTCAACATGTTAAACAATGGGTCCACAGACTGTAAAATTGAAAGAAACGTAAGAATTGAAAGTCTTAAGGTACATAAGCCTAATCTCATAGACTGGAGACCAAGACTTTAATATAGCTGTGGGAATTATATCTCCTTTCACTTGCCGAGCAATATTTTTTAAACCTTGATATGTCTTCTTTATGTTTCGAACCCTGATGTTGACGTAGACAATGCTTTCTGATTTAGTTTATCATCTAATCCGTCTCTCTTTGAGATAAAAGACACAGTCGCAACTTACTTCTAGAACTATATCTAGCTAAAACTATTTTTCAGTTTTTTTTTCATGAACTGATCTCAAGATATATAATAACGTCATGAGATTACTGTTCACCTCCAAACACTTGTAAAGTTAGCAAATGA